GCTGATGGCAGGGGGGTTGGAACCGGGTAATATCTAAGGTCCCTTCCAGCCTAAAACATTGTATGATTCTTTGCTTCTTGAAGAAGATATTATACTGGCTCAGGCTGCAGGTACTTCCCTCCCTCTTAACATTAATGTGTTAGGAAGAAAGCCTTGCTCCAGTGCAAGTGCTGCCTCAGGCTCAATATTACCTTGTGTAGCAAATATATCTTCTAGGTTTGCCCCCAAAATACCCTGTCAGACCTGCTGTGGGCTTGGAAACAGAAATCTAACCCTTGCTAAGTAGAAGGACGGCCAAATCCAGGGGGTCTACAAAGCACCACTGTGACCTCTATGCTGTTGAGGTTCCTCCTTTGTGCAAACTCCTGAGTGAGTTACCAGAGTCTGCTGAGACGTTTGGAGAAAGCTCTGCAAACTGTGGGCACTACCATAATATAGACAATCCATAATGATGATATCTTGTTCCCGAAAAAGTATTTAACCTCCTAGAGCTGTGCAGTGCCAGGATATGGAGAAAAAAATCATTTCTTTACCAACCTCTGCTCAGATTACACCCTGCAGCATGAATGTGATTATCCTCACACCATTATCTGAGCCTGCATAGCTGCAGATGTTGGCAATAGGGATTGGCTCGAGCCTCTCAGTTTTCATCCAGGCATCGCTTTCCCTGCACTCCCAGAGGCATTTGGACAGGGCGTTTTGGTCCTAGTCCATTTCTAGTTATTAAGGGTTATGTTTGCTCTTTGAAAAACTCCCCTCTCTTGTTATTTGTCTTTCTGTGGTACCGGATACCAAGACAGCCTGTCTCACTGTGAGAAAGAGAATGTGCTTTTGTGCCTGGACTGGATTGATTTCCACTTCTATTTAAGAAAAAGGTGTGACCCTTCCAGCTTGAATTATCCCATGATCCTATGATCAGTTTTCATTACAATCACTATTACTTACAAAGCTTCATAGAAATCTCTCACTCTGCTCCTTTCCAGGCTGAGTAACTCTAAGCTAAACAGTGAGTCAGCAAAATAACCCACTATTTATCTTCAGTAAATGCTTTGTTTACAATTTGTAAGTCTGATACTCACCTGCTACTTCCAAGAAGTCATTGTACTAAAGGGAAGCATTTGATAAAGTGGTAAACAGGGTGGCCCAAGAGCTCTTTTCTAACCCTAATTTATATCAACATGAATATATGCCTGAAAAAAATTGAAAAGGGAAGAAGTACCCAGACAAGCTGACTGCCAGTATTCCTTTTCCAGGACACTGAAGCATTTATCTAAGGGATTTCATTAAGCTTTCCTATCCATGCCCCATGCCTGCACTTATAAACATTTCTATTGCCCAGAGGTCTTGGCAATAACAGCAATGTAGCTAAAATTGCTTTAAATCTCCAGCAGGTTAGACAGACAGTTCTTCGTAATGCACTAAGCTGCTGTGAGTCAATTGGCACTGGATGGCCACAATAAAGATAAAGTGACTTTTAGCATTTGGTTGCAGTGGTTCTCACCCATCCCTCACTGCTGGCACAAAGGCAGGTGAGATTTACATGCAAAACAAGAGCCAGGGAAGCCTGTGTTTTTAACAGCTGGGTACAGACTGGTAAGGGTGGTGTGGAAACAGGTGGTATTTGTATTTGGGGACAAACATGTCCTCTGCTAATGAGATGATGAGAGCCCTGTATGGCTGGAGGTGGGATACAGAGTGCCTCCAGTCAGCGGAGATGGGCCACTACCATCCCCAAAGAGTAGCACAGCAACCTAGGAAAAATTTGTTCTCCAACAAAGTGGTCAGACTTTGGAACAGGATGCCCAGGGAAGTGGTGGAATCACCATCCCTGGTAGTGTTCAAGAAACGTGTAGATGTACCACTCAGGGATATGGTTTAGTGGGCATGGTGGTGATGAGTTGATGGTTGGACTGGATGATCTTAGAGGTCTTTTCCAACCTGTGATTCTGTGATTCTAGGCATGTTAACCTATTAATAGCCATGTTTTACATGTCCTTCTTCTTTATACAGCCCTGATGAGTTTTCATCAACTTTTGCATATCTTCTACCAGCAAAAGACAACCGAAGCAACTAATAACACAGAAACTGTGTGGCTCCCCTATATTGCATTTTCATATCCATATAGCAAAGATTATGCTTTCTACCATATAGGTTAATGTGATGTTTTCTTATCGGCCACATAGTTTAGGGATATCACTTGCTTGGCCAGGGGGAGCAAAACTGCAATCCATCTCTTGAGGGGTTGGAGCTGTCTTGGTCTCTTAGAGATTTTTGGTTGATATAACCTTCTGTGAATTCAGCTTTACTTTTAAATACAAATAGTTGTGGTCCATTTTCCCACTCACTAGGATTGAATGTTGGGCTTAAAATAGTGCAAGACAAATCTGTTTGGCACTGCCTGGGGTCTTGGAAAGGGGATGTTGATAGCCAGACACACAAATATCATTGATAACCAGATACACTGATAACTCAGGTCCATTGTCCCCTTGCATGTATTGGGGAGCAAGGCCAAGAGCTACAGCTTTCTGTGTGACTCAGACATGTTTCTCATGGAGATTTAAGTTAGCAGCACCTCTGCAATTCTTTTTTTTTCAGAGCAAAAAAGTCTCGTGCTTGTTACTAACTAAACACATGAAAATTTCAATCTTAGTCAAGCATGCTTGTCTGGACACCCACTCTGCTATGACAGCTGCAAGTAAAACATCCCCTGAGCAAACACCTCTATGCAGTGAGCCTTATCTTTGATTATCCAGCCCACACGTGATATGCAAAGCTGCAGCCAAGGAACTGTACTGCTGGGAGGCTGGGGGAAGAGTCCAGCATCACATGGTCACATGGGCCAGTTGAGCTCGAACTCTATGGCCCAGTGCTCCAGCCCTCCTAACACTCTGTAGATGCTTTGCTGAATAAGATCAGAGGTAACCAATTAATTAAATTTAAGCCTGATGAAACCCATCTCTAAAAGATGGCTAGTGCCATGTTAATTCTTGAGCATGCCAAAGCTTTCTGTACCAAGGGAGGTGCTAGAAAGGAAAAGGAAAGTGCTAGGAAATGAATTGGAGGCATGTGAGGTTTTTTGGCTTATAGAAGTGCTGGCAGCAGACTAGGGTTACAGTGTTTGAAAGCTGTTTATGCTAAAGAAAACAGGAGATTTCACCTTTTTAGCAAAATCAGAGCATGCAGCATGGCAGCCTGGGTAGCTCACAGCCCGTTTTCATCTCTCTGCAACATAAGGCCACATCTGGGCAGGCAGATGTCATCCTGTGTCCCTTTCATGCCAGCTGTAGACAAGTCAGTTCCAGTTCCAAAAAACCACGCCGTTACATTAACGTGGCACAGAGCCTGAACTAAGAAGTCCACTTCTCAGCAGAGCCCTCAGCCTACCAGCTCAGGCCCCGGCATCCCTCAAGTGTCTTCTGGACCATGCTGTCTGACATCTGGACAGCAAAGCAAACGGGAGTAGCAGAGAGTCCTATCACAGGCACTTCCCAAAGCAGGTATATGCATGTTCATTCGTCTTTCTTTGCAGTTACTAATGCATCCCCATTACATTAGATTACTTATTTTTCCACAAAAGATGCATTTTTGCAGAAATTGCACCCTGTGGTTTTCATGCAGTGTCCACAGTTCCTCTTGGAGTTGGTGCAAGACTTCATATTTTTGTTCTCAAAGCTTATCTTTAAAGCCACTGAGGAACAGGTTAAACAAAACTTCTGCAAATCACAAAGAATGGTTTCCCTGACTACACAGTGCTCTCCATCCCTCTGTTCTGCTAAATACACTACAATAACATTTAGCAGGGGCCCAGTTCTGAATCTATAAAGTCAATGGGAGTTTATCTTTGTGCTTCAGTGGGAGCATGATCAAAGCCCCAAGTGCTTCTTGACCTGATGCCAGAATCTGTTATCTATCTATCTATCTATCTATCTATCTATCTATCTATCTATCTATCTATTATCACTTCTAACCAACAAAAACGACAATGTTACTGTACCTGTCACCATTTTTTTCCAGCTGCATCTCCTCAGTGTTCCCATTGGATCCAAAGACAGTCATGAAAATACTGGCATCAGTACCGCCACTTTCGATGTCTCCAGTCACAACTGTGACTTCATAGAGAATCTGGTGGGGATTTGAAACAGTTAGAAGGTCTCATTCGAGTATCTGTCCTTAACCCACGCAAAAGGCTAGGCAGGCTCTGCAGGAGATCTGCTACTTTGCCAGAAATCATTATGATGTGTTTTCTTGGTTTCTCTCCACACTGTAGTTCCCAGAGGCAAAGTCAGAGATTGAAACTTGCCATAGGACCTTACCCTTTGCTTCATCTATGACTTTTTCTGCAGATTTGCTCAGTCTAGATAGACTCATTATGACATTAATACGCTTGGGGATTGATGAAGACCTGATAAAGCTCTTGTCCATGGGAGTCACAACCCTCAGGTCAGGGGTCAGTGCGTGGATCTCCAGCCCTCTGCTACTGGCAGCTCCTCCTGACCACCTCCCAGCACTCCAGATCTCTGTACTACACCAAACCTTTGCCACTTAAAAAAACCCAAACAAAACAGCTCCCAAAGACACAACTGGTTCTTTCCCTTGACTGCAAAATGTTTCCACCAAGTGTTTGGTGTCCATCTGGGCAACATTTAGTCCAACATTGCTAATGGTTTTGAAGTCTATATGTCAGAATGCTCTTTACAGCAGAAAAATGTGGCTGTCTTATTTCCCAATGCAATACACACTGCTGCATTGAATGCAGTGTTCTGAGATCTTGTGCTTTAAATTTGTGAAAAGATGTTTAGCATCATTTTCACCTTGTTAGCTTAACTTTGTTCTTTTCTCTTGGCATGTGAATAATAAGATTCAGAATAAAATGTTATAAAGGATGCAAGTCCCAATGGTTGTTAGTGGCTTTAAGACTTTTAGGCCACTTAGATGCTTTCAAGATCATACCTGTGGTAACAAGACCTCTGGATTTAAGAGGTGGAAGAATATCAAGAAACAGCCCCAGCAAAAAATAGTACACTGCTAGGCAAGTTATATTGGCCTGAAATGTGATTGCCACATAAATAAACAGTGCAAAGGAATAATATAATAGAAAAAATATTTTTCATGTTTGTTCAATTCTGAGTTACCTGTCCCTCACATATTCATTCACACACATTTTAGATCATAGCAAAGCATCAGATTTGCTATAGGTAGAGAAGAGAAACTCTTCTAACAATGTATTAAAGGTTTTTAATGACTGTGGTGGACATTGACTACTTTATCTATGCATGGGAAGGCAAATACTCAATTTAAAGCACCAAAAGGGAACATCAAGCCAAGAAGAAAACAAAATTTAAACTGGTACATATGGTTGTGCAAGAGTCAAGCAAAAGCAAAACAATAAAGCATTAACTTTCCCAAAGACATTAAACATATTAATCTTCTTTGAACTCTAGAAAAATAAAATAAACTCAGCTTCTAACTACAGCTATTTACGAGAGAACAGTCCCAAATTCCCTCAGCTAGGAGTCTGATCAGAAAGTCAAATGCACACTTCTGATTTCATGTCTCAAGCATCTCCCCTGATTTCCTTCAAACCTTTCAGCAAGTTTCTGGCCCAATATAATAGAAAAAAAAAAAAAAAAAGCTAGATGTGTCTATTTTTGGCATGCTTATTCTGAATAAATATTCAGAATTGGGCTTTTAAAGGAAAAGTGAACATAAGTCTTCATTAACATCCACTTCAATCTACAGACAAGTCATCCGCTCACTTATTGCAGCTTGGAAACCCTGTCCAGGAGGTTAAACAACTGATAGGAAATTTTTAAGAGATTAGGTTTTAACCTTGGTATTCAGTCTCAGGGAGGATTTTTTTCCCCTCTTAGGTCAGTTCTACACTGAAACCTGCGTTGATTTGCTGAAACCTTCACAGATGCTAAAAATGTTATCACACTTTTATGTGTCTAGGAAACAAGAAAGATTTCAGGAAAATATCTTTAGCTTGGGAATCAAGAGCAGCATAAAGAAAAATTAATGCTCTATGAAAGTGTAACTTCACTGTAAAGAGAAACGCATCTATGGAGATTTTAAATTGCCATACAGGTATTAAATGCAGTATCATTGTCCCATTCATCCAGACTGTTATTTCTGTTATAAATCTTATATCCAAAATCAGCATAGCTCAGCTTTCCAATTTGTACTTGGTTGAAATATGGCATAGCACACTTACTTCAAATTTCATATACATGGATGAAAAGACGATATAGTATTTTTCATTGCTTATTCAGCTTTAATCAGTTATTCATTTCAAAGTTCAAGCTTACAAATGTCTCCATGTTTCAACAACTTCCAGTTATTATTAGTTCCTAACCAAACTCAGTTTCCCTATCCCATATCAGAATAGCTGACATGTAGCCACACTATGCAGAAATTAAAATATCTCCACTACTCTGATTAGATGAGTTAGAAGTATCTCCTCAAACAAAACATGATGGAGTTAGATTGCACCAAGGGGTTCACCTTGCAGCTGCCTCCACTCTATAGGCACCAAGTGATGCTCCAGCTGCAGTGACAAAATGGGGACATGGTGCTGAACTGTGTCTTACCTGCTCTGCCCTACCCTGTCCTTCTGCCTATGGCATGGCAGCATTCAGCCAGCATTATTAAACAGTGCTGCAAGTGGTGATGATGCTAAACCATTCCTAAAGGTTTTACTAAAGAAATAACAAAGAAACCCTCTGTAAATAAAAGGCTCAAACCACATGCCAAAGTCAAAGTATGAGAACTGCTGACACACAACCTATACCAGCACAGGTCCATTCAACAGGTAAAGATACAGGATGAGGCTACAGCCTACCTTGAGGCCAACGTTAATGCAGTCTGCATCCAGGATGTTGAGGATTCTTGAGGTGAGTCCATCACCTTTGTCTCTAGCCAGCCAGCACTTACAGACAAAGTTATACATGACACCTTTGGTGGGCACAACGATGGTGAGCTCTTCCACTAGCCAGCAGCTCTCCGGGGTAGCACCATCATGCCCCACCTGTGAGAGTCAGTGAGAAAATATCTGTTGGTTAAAAGGGGTTTCTTTGGAGGAGAGACTCTGGTCAGATGTTATAAACGATGATGAAGGACTAAGACTGTTGACTATATACAACGTCACACACGACACTTCCACAGTGGTGTGGAGTGAGCTGTGAAATTGTGCTATTGCTGTCAAACAGGCAAGACATCAATGTCCATGATAGCTGATGAGGGCAAGGAAGCTCAGGTCATCTGCCTGCTGAGCATGAGGGAAGGCAGGACACTGCTAGTCCTAAAAGTAAGCAAGGGGAACATGAAACAGGTAGACTGCACTGACCTACATGAAAACATGTCCACTATCTTGTTACTCTGCCTCTGCTCCATTGACTTCTACCTGTTAGTTTGCTCATCTCTGCAGACCTGTTTCTCCATCTTTCCAACCCCCTCCACTACTGTTACAACACTTAGAAGTGCCTCTCCAAAGCTTCATAATCAAGATGTGAGATGCAGTTAGACAAACACCCACATGCATTATTCAACCATTCCTTCCCTCACAAATCCATATCTAAGTCAACTAAACATATCAGACCGTTCCTCTACTTCCTGTCTCCTTAAACTGCAAAAGGTCCATATTTGTATAGGAGACAACAGATGGTGCTTACATCTGTAGCTGTTTGATTTTCCAAGACCATCTCCTCCAAGCTCAATAACGGTGTATCCTGAAGAGCAGGATGTTACACAGGAAGGGCAGGAAGCCTGTATGGGTGAACAAGAGGCTCCTGACAAAACTTATCTGGAACAAGAAAGAACACTGGATATGGTAGCAGGGACAAGGGACCTGGAGAAATACAGAGACACTGCACAGGTGTGCCAGGATGAAGTTAGGAAAGCCAAAGCCTACCTGGACCTGAGTCTGGCCATGAAGAGCAAAAACAATGTTCCTACAGGTATATCAGCAGCAAAAAGATGCTGGTGTGCAAACTTCTCAAGAAACTGCCTGTGTCCTTACTACAGAACATGGGCAATTCATCCCAGAGTGGACTTATAAGCGTAATTATGTATCCCAGCTGATGTACAAAACTCAGCCAGTCATTCCAATGAGCTATCTGTACATAAAAGACTGAATAAAAAGAGCTACCTACAATTCATTATTTTCTGAGCAAGTGTTGTTTGTGCCATTATTAGGAAAATGAGGTCCTTAGCTCTTTCTGGTTTTGTTTTTAAATTATTAGGATATTTAGGGTTGTTCAGAAAATAATTTTTAATAATATGTTCATCTAGGTTGATATATCTGTGGTATTTTCTTTCCCCTCAAAAACAAGTGATCTTTTTTATCTGTCTCAGCCATCACTGCTATTAGGAGCATTATTACTATACTAATGTCTGTGCAGCTGCAGAAAATTAGAGTTAACCACTAGGGAAATTCAAGTTTACAATGGATGCATTAATTCTCAGATTCCTGGGGTGTGAGGTGAATGGGAATATAACACTTGCCTTCCTGCTCTCTCTCTGCCAGCTTGGCTGCCCTTCACCAAACCCAAAGCTCCTCTGAGAGTCTGCATGCAGCCTCTTGAGACTTGTTGCAGGATGGTGCAGATGAGGTGGTGGGGAAAGTTCAGGGTGTTGGCTCTGCAGTGAAGCAGGGACAGAGCAGCCAGAGGGGAAATTCTGCTGAGCCCATTAAAGTCTGCTGCTCCTTTGGATTCTTTACAGCTACGTCCTACAGCATCATTCCAAGACATTGCTAGGTACTAGATTTTCACAGCAATCTTTAGCTCCTTAGGTACCAGTGACTGACCAGAAGAAAGCATCCTGCACATCCAGCTGCCTTGGAGAACCTGGACACAGCAGATTTCCAAGGGCTTCAAGAACAATGTTGTAAAGTCTGAGATAAACTCATCCAGTGCTGAGTCTCCTTTATAACTGGCCTTCTAGTGCAGAGCACTGGGATTTGTCATTCAATTTCAAGCAAATCTTTAGATAGACCATGCCAATACAATGGACAATCCAAGGCCATGTCCACACCAGCAGCATAACCTGGATGTGCACACTAGCATCACAAGTTGTTTGAGCTAAGGTGCTTGAACAAAGTTAGAATGACAGACTTTCAAAGACCACCAGATCCTTGGGCTGTTTTGAAAATCTTTCTAACTCATTCCCACTGTCCTTGAGGGACTGCTGAGTACTTCATATCACCAAGACTATGATGCCGTATTGGGTTTGCGTGGTCAGGTTTTGGTAGCGAGAGGACTACAGGGCTGGCTTCTGTGAGAAGCTGCCAGAAACTTCCTCTATGTCTGACAGAGCCAGTGCCAGCTGGCTCCAAGACGGGACCACCACTGGCCAAGGTTGAGCCCACCAGTGACAGTGATAACATGATTAAGAAAGGGGGGAAATACCAACAACTGCACAACAGCCACTGTAGCTGAAAGAGTAGTGAGAAGATGTGAGAGAATCAACTCTGCAGACACCAAGGTCAGGGAAGAAGGAGGGGGAGGAGGTGCTCCAGGTTCCAGAACAGAGATTCCCCTGCAGTCCCTGGTGAAGACCACGCTGATGCAGGCGGTGCCCCTGCAGCCCATGGAAGTCCATGGTGGAGCAGATGTCCACCTGTAGCCAATGGAGGACTCCACATCAGTGCAGGTGGATGCCTGAAAGAGGCTGTGATCCTGTGGGAAGTCCACGCTGGAGCAGGTTCCTGGCAGGACCCATGGAAAGAGGAATTCATGCTGGAGCAGGTTTGCTGGCAGGACTTGTGACCCCGTGGGGGACCCGTGCTAGAGGAGCCTGTCCCTGAAGGACTGCACCCCATGGAAAGGACCCACACTAGAGCAGCTCATGAAGAACTGCAGCCTGTGGAAAAGACTAATGTTTGAGAAGTTCATAAAGAACTACAGCCCATGGGAGGGAAGAGTGTGAGGAGTTGTCTCCCTGAGGACCAGCAGAAATAACATGTGATGAACTGACCACAACCCCCATTTCCAGGGAAGAAGGGATGGGTGGGGGGAAGGTGTTTTAAGATTTAGTTTTCATTTCTCATTATTCTACTCTGATTTGATTGGTAATAAATTAAACTGATTTCCCAATGACAGTAATCACTCAGTGATCTCCCTGTCCATATCTCGGCTCATGAAATTTTTGTTATACTTTCTCTCCCCCATCCAGCTGAGGAGGGGAATGATAGAGTGGCTTTGGTGGGCATCTGACCTCCAGTCAGGGTCAACCCACCACAGATGTACAATTTGCACTGGGTAGCTCACAAGCACATTGAAACCAAACACAGCAGTGGGAAAATGAGAGAGAATTGGAGTGGTAGATAGAAGAAAAAGATGAAAAAAAAAAAAAAAATCCTGCTTATTTTGGAAGGTGCAGAGAATACCAGAGAGACCTGAGGGTCTTCCAGGATCAGATCCCCAGTCAGTGAGGGACTGGACCTGCAGCACTTGTATATTCCTGACTATACTCTGTTTGTGTGATGGAGAAAAGCTCTGAACCAGAAGTGGTTTAGAAGTGCAGACCAATGCAGGACTCTTCTGATCATACTTGTGTCTCTCTGCAGCAACAGCAGTCTAGGAACAGAGATACTTTCATTCATTAGAAGAAATAATAAAACTGGTTTTAAGAAAACAGGATAAAGTGCCTCTACCCAATAACTTGCTATTTTCAAGTCAGCATGTCTATTAAAGTACGCCAGTAGTAAATATTATATCTGTAGGCTTACAAGACAGGTACAAATGAGTTCCTTTCAAATTGCTCATGTTCCACTCTTTCTGCTTTCACTATAGTATATCTGCAGCAGGACAATACTACCAAACTAAAAGTAGCATCATGCTGCAAATCTTACAATCCTACTAAATCCTGCAGTCTGTTACCTGGGTTATACAGAAGGCTTCTGGAAACTTAATCCCCATCCTATGTTATTTTCACATGGTAACTCATATTCAGAACTTCTTGTCTTCTTCCAGAAGCAGCCAAATGCCAAATCTGGGAACGAACTGTTCCTCACTTTTCCCAAGTAGATAACTAGCAATTTTCTGCAATAACACTGCAATTTTCTACAAAGAAAATATGGACTGATTCCATGGCAACCACAGCAGACTGGCACATTGATGTCATTGCTGGGACGTGGATCAACAAGGAGAGACCTTCCAAGCAGAGGGCACTACATGAAGGAAAGCAGAAGACCAAGAGCAGATGGCTCCTCCAGTCATGAGCTGGGAGTTACAAACTAAAAGGGAAAAATGAGCAAGAGGTGAGGCAGCAAGCTGGTGAGATAACTGAAAGGGGGTGAAAGAGTGCAGAAGACTGTAATCCAAGTGGAAGCTATACGCTATTTCTTTTTCTACCTCTCTGCATTTCATTTGAAACCTTTTATCTTCTTTCCCATTTGTAATCCTTTTCCAATTGTTTATTTTCCTTACTTCTGTCTATTTCCAAGTGCTTTCTCCTATTCTCTCCCACTATTTTCTGTCTCTTTTCCAGCACCCCTTTCTACTTTTTTTTTCTTCATCCAGTCCTTCTGTCTCTCTGAGGGGCTATTCTGGCTTTTTCCTCCCTCTCTATTCGCCCCCATGGCTGTTTCCATGTGCACACAGTCTGGAAGAGGATTTATGTGCCTGCTTCACTTTCAAAATTTGACCTAGAGATGGCTATACAGAAAGTGCCATAATACTCATAATATCCAGGCACTTGGATTGCATTAAGAAAATGGCCTGATAAACTCAAATCTAGTATGGGGACTTTTCAAGGTGCCAGAATCCATTGCTTGAACGAAAGCTAATGGGAGTGCTTCAGTCTATCAGCTGCTACAACATGACATACAACTGCAAAGATATTTTTAATTTCTTAATATTTTTCTCTTTGTATTTCTTTCACTCATGTCCCTCTGAACACAAAAGCACATAAAGCAACAAGTAGGTTTACTGCCACACAGGGCATGGGGTAAAAACAAAATGAAATGGGCTCTTGAAGTCCCTAGGTGCTGTGGGTTTCAGTACTCAGGGAGCTGGAGTAGGCTTTCAGGAGATGGAACGGCCATATGAAAAAAAATTATGTACACAAATGCACTGGAAGATTCATGTGAAGTTTAAGCTTTGTGATGGAAAGTCTATGCAAATTCTGTCTCCCTGAGCCACAGCAGAAAAAATGGCCCCAGTACCAAAATCTATTTGTGCATGTTACTTATGAATGATGATTAATTTTCTTCTCTAAGCCTGGGTCCTCCAAGCTGTGAAAACAATTTTCATGTTTAGCTAGAAAATTACACAAGACGTGTTTCTCACTGCAGGCACAATTTATGAAACCCAACTGGAAGTAATGCAAAAATCAACTAGGAAAAAGACTGATGGAGGACTGCATCCTGGGAACCTTCACTGCATCTGGCAATAACAGGGCTTGACTAAGAAAAAACAGTGCCAGAGATGGGACAAAACTGAGATATGTTACAATTTCCTTATAATTAAAAATTGTCTTCTGCCTTCTTGGCAGAAGATCTTGGTTTTGCCAGACTTAAAGTGTACTTATTTTCAATTTTGGACACATGTGGAATCTCATTAGCACATCTCTGTTTACATTTGTTTTAGACCCAAGTGCCTTTCCTTCACTGGTAAGAATAAAAGGAATACATGTTTTCTTTGGCCACACATTTCATAACCCTCCAGTGCTTGCACTGCCTTCATAAAGTACCTCCACTTTTTTAATCTCTCCAACATCTAGGCCCCAGACAGAGAATTTCTCTACAGAACCATCTGCAAACTCGTCTTTTCCTTCTGGGAGATCCAGCCACAGCCTCTCCGTCTGCACTTTCTGAGGACCCATGATGATGATGTACACTCGGCTGTCGGTGCTGGAGTCATATTCCGTTCCCGTTGTGACGGTGATGTGGTATGGGATCACTGCAACAAATAGAGGTTTAATCATCAGAAAACCCACACACATGTGCATTTACACAAGATTTCAGAAAACGAGGGACTCATCCCATCAGAGGGAGCAGCTGTGCACGCTAAATATGTTCACATCCCATTGAACTACCTGAAAGGAGCTTGTTGCGAGAAGGGTGTTGGTCTCTTCTCCCAAGTAACAAGCAATAGGACAAGAGGAAATGACCTCAAGTTGTGCCAGGGAAGGTTTAGGTTGGATATTAGGAAAAACTTCCTTTACTGTAAATGTTGTCAAGCACTGGAACAGGCTGCCCAGGGAAGTGTTGGAGTCCCCATCTCTGGAGGTATTTAAAAGATATGTAGATGTGGTGCTTAGGGACATGGTTTAGAGGTGGATTTGTCAATGTTAGGTTTGCAGTTGGACTCAATGATCTTAAGGGTCTTTTCCAACAAAAATGATTCTATGATTCTATGAATTCACTGGGAGAAGGGATAATACCATGCTACATTGGGCTACAAATATGCATGGGAGACTACTTTTCCACACGTGCTTGGGTCTGAATTCTGCAAGGGTTCATTTCCCCAGACAACCCTACTGGCTGCAAGGAGGTTATAAGGGAATAATGCAGTCCAGATTTCTCCATAATAGATGACAGAACAGCAAATGGTTTGAATCCTTATTTACACCAAGAGACCTTCCTGAAAAGATGAGACTGAGCACCTAAATCTCAAATAGGCTATTAGACCAAGGCGATCTTACACTCACCGTTCCAATAAAGGCAAATAAATCTATGCTGACTCAAAGGTAAACCATCACTGACTGAACGTCCCAGTACAACTGCAAACGCTCTTTGTGCTTCATTCAGAGGTTGCTATGATCTATGGAGCAGCTTAGGATTCCAGCATCCCTTTGCAAATCCCAGCAAACTATTAATAAACCTTGTGTTAATGATGGGCCACACAATAATTTTATATATTGCATAGTAATATTGATTAGGAGAAAAACCTTCAGAACAAGGCTTGAGACTTAGCAGGTTTTTCTGTGGTTTTCAGAGATTTCAGTTCAGCTGTTAAAAAGGAGGAAGTGCCAGACTGCTTTCCAATTGCTTTCCAAAAGCTCATTTGGGTAAGCCGAACAGGAGGGGCAGAATTAGACGCTGAATACTCATTTGATTTCTCAGAACATTTGTGCAGGGCTGTTCAAGCCATTCTGACAAGACTCAGAGCTCTGAAACTTGTCTCATCACAGACTCAAAATTTAGCCTGGCTTCATCATCGCTTTTTTGATTAAAAAAAAAAAAAAGGTTTATAAAACTTGATAAAAAACCTGAGGGTTGGCTTTCAAATAATTCAGGATTGATATTTAATTTTGCTTTATGATGGCTAACAACATTTTAGATGTGGGGGTTGTACTACAAAATCACATCAAGCTCAGAATATGTGTGCAACATCGGGGAAGGCATGAATTCATGCTGACCAAATCAGTTCTTACCTCTGGACAGAGCAGAACCCAAAGATATTCATTCAGCCCCACTTTGAGGATTTTGTATACCAACACAAAATGAACTGATGATTAGGCAAGACTTTTTCTTCCCTTTATGGAATCATCTACATTTCAGTGTCTACATCAGCATAATGATATGCAATGCTTTCTTCACAAAATAACCAGTGGAGCTGCTAGTATTAGCAAGAGAAAGAGTTTAGCCATAGGCAAGACAGATTTTATAAGAATATGTTGAGGGGTCACGTTTAGAACAGTTCTAGATTCCTTTTTTAAATAAAGTAGATTTGAACAGGGATAAAATTTTCTTTTATACAGTTTTTACCCTGTTCTCCCGTGACAGAGTTCACAGAACTACCAGCATTTCCAACAAATGTTGCATCCTCAATACCTATGCAAAAATTAGAACTGTGAGAAATTGCTATCATTTGCCACTTTAAATAATGGATACAATGACATAGAGTGGCTTGCTGCTAGACAGCAGGAAACACTGTTTGCTGTTCTTTCTGCTAAAAACTAGAAAAATGTTTCTTTAATTTGTTTATCTCCCCTCTCCATTGTCACTCTCTTTCTCTGGGACTCCATTTCTTGAAACATGGGACAATGCAAAACCTGAAGTACATGGCCACAACAGGACACCACAGCTCCTCCAGCCCACAGCCCTTTGCCCCTTGCTTCCTTGAGTCCCTGCACAGAGTTCAGGCTGTTTGAGGGCACGTGTCCCTCTCACAGTGGGGTGGGAATCATTAGAGATGTAGACCACACCGTCTCCAGCACTGCCTTCCAGGATGGAGCAGAGTTCCCAGTTCAGACCCAAGCAGGTTCCTAGTCAACAGGACCTTTTTCTATGCTCCGTCCTCACATCACCTCCTGCCCCTCAGAGGTATTCACCGTCTGAGCATAAGAGAGCCAGAACTGGGCTACTCAAACTGTCACTCCCTTCCCCAGGTACCCCCCAGTACCACTTTCCCTAATCAACTAATTAACAGCTGGCTTTTTATCCAGCTCAGGAGGTGGCTGTCTGGCTCACACAGTCCATCTTATCTGACATTCCTTCAAGATGCAGTTTCCTTAATGAAGCCATGTCACTGCAACAGAGATAGTAGTGATGACAAGCTCCAGGACTTGGAGAAGAGAGACCACCCTGGCACAATGACGATAGTGGGAACTATCCTAGCTCTGCTGGAGATGGGTTCTCATGGGAGATGATGATGTTTTACCCATTATTTGTGAAACTACATGGAATGCCAACATGGCAGATGTTATTCATTGTCTGACCACAGAAGTAATATCAGAAGGAACATGGGAATCACTTATTTTTCGTTTGAACACAATACGAGATTACAAAAGAAGGGTTGCTTCAAGACACATGGGTTGCAGACCAGGTCAAGCAATGTGCAGCATTATGTCTGCTTCTCAACTTAAAGGTATGGGACATGCAACCTGGGTATCACATCACAACAAGCTACTGAGCATCAGTCAAGCATCAGCAACCATTTGTGTGAATTCCCTTGGACCATGTCAGTGAAAGCTATCTAAAACTCCTAAGACAAATTACATCATTTTACACTTGTTTTGCCATGGAAGTTTAAAATAATTTTAATTATTTTGCACTTGCTGTGGACTAAGAGCACATACACAGACAGCTTGACTCAGCTGCTGCCCAGTTACTTGTTAAAACACAGTATCTTAACCACACATCTAAAATCTTAATCTAAAGCTAAAAGACCCCATATAGGATGACAACAAACTGTAGATGTGATTTATATGATAAGTCATTGTTCTAGAACAGAGAGGTGGTTAATCAAAAGGTACGTAAATAGAGAAAAAAAAAAGCCTGTGTGGTAATGAAGTTATAAAGAAATATCAACGGACTGGGGAAATTTTACACAAAGGTTAACTTCAGCTGGTGACCACTGATCTTCCAGGCTTCCTTCACAGCCAGGACAGAAACAAAATCCGCACAACTTTCCCACTTCGTGTTGGACACAGCCAAGCAAGACTAGCCTCCCTGCGTGAAAACTGTCCTCTGCAGACATAGTCCAGCATATTTCATTTTTTATAACTTGCAATCCAGAAACAGATTTTTGTTTTATATTCAGATTTTCCTTTTATATTCAGATTTTCTTTGTCTCAGCAACCAGAGCCTAAAGATGAAACTCTACACTAGAGTCATCAATGGTTTCCATCAGTTACTTGAGCAAGAACCTTGGTCCAGAGTTCATAGACTACCCATCTTTCAGTGACAGCATTTGCAGACCCTCTTCTTCTGGTCAGTAATAAGACAACCCACCTTATAGAAAAGAACAAACTCATCTGAGTGCTTCCAGTTGAAGCTTGTGTTCTGAGAGCCAACAGACTTACCTGTGTTCCTGCTCATCTCACCATATCCCACTCCCCTCCCAACCCAACAGCTGCTGTGATGCATCGACATGTTGTAAGGAAAAAAAAACATTAAGAGTTCTAAAATAAATCACACTTAAATTCATATTAAACAAACATCCCCAGTGATTAAGTACTACCAGTCTGATCCTGAAAAGTGGAGATGGCTTAAGCATGGCAAATAAAGTCTCAGGAAATTCAAAGCTTTCTTTGGTAATTCAGATGTTACATGAAACATCATCTTGTGTAGGTCAAAGAGATATAGGAGGAAAAAACAGCTGATATCAGCAACAAAAGCTACTGTAAGTAATAATGTGGAAAAAAAGTCTTTGATGATCCTAGGGAGGTTCTTCTCGTGATATCATGCCTGCCTATGGTCTTTCTCATTGCAAAGAGCTTTGGATCCTTTGAAGGACACTTCAGACAAAGCTATACAAAACTTCTTCCTTCTTTAGAGGGTCATGTCACTTTGCCACACCTCTGAAATGCTCTCTGCAATTAAGATGGTGGAGGAAGAGGAGTAGGATTATCTAGGTTAGTGGGTTTCTTTCTGAGGAGGCCCTATGGATGTTGTTGACTAGCTCCTTTTCCACATTTGGTGATGTGGATGCACCCACCTAACTTTAGGAATCTAAGGGACAAGATTTGGTATTGTAGGTGCCTGTAGAGATCCCCTATGGTTTTTACCTCACCACAACAGAAAACAGCATACCCTTGAATAACTACCTACCTAACGATATTGTCACATTGTCCAAAGTACCACACTGTTTGGAGAGCTTACATCTGCTGGCAATGGAGAAGTTAATTTTGACAAGGTACAGCACTACAAATTTCCACAGAAAAGGAAGAATAGGGTTGGAAACACTGAAATTGCTGTGGACTTCATGGCTCATTCCACTGCTAAGAGTCAGAGCTATAGGAAAATCATCAAATGCAGAAACATAATCACCGATCCAGACTTTCCCACAGCAGTCACAACACAAGATGGAGAGAAGTAATTTGTTGTTCTGTCTCTCCTTGCTCTTCACAAGGACAAATGGGAGCTCTCAAGCACTGAAAGCCAAGAACACATGCATGCATGCCATCAAAGATGGTGCTCACTCACGTGATCCTTCTTCTGCAGCCTTGACCAAGCTGGATTTTTTTCTTTCCTTCAGGTTTCCATTGCTATCCTCACTTGACAGGCTGAGAGACGAGCCATCCAGGCTATTTCGCTCGCCACCATAGCTCTAGTTGGAAGGTATGTATGGGAGGGTAATGAGGTTGACTGCTCAAGTGTTGTCAGCTGTTCCCATGTGCCTCCAAGACCAACATGGGAAAAAGTCTCTGTAGTTTCCCAGGAAGCTTTTTGCTCAGTGTAGCTCAAATAAATGTGACTTGTAATTTATTGCAGGTTATTAATTTACTTCATTGGTAATCTTGACAAGCCATTTTGGATGCATGTTATAATAAAAGAAAATATAAAGTACCTAACAGACTTCAGTGGTGTGTTGTGACTTTTTTCTGTCACCTGTGTGAGCAACAGCCACAGAAAAATCAGATGGATGGGACAGTGCCAGATTTGCTTATCAGGATACACACTGTGGTGTCAGACTAATTGACTTGGCTTAGGTCAAAGGGCATAAGAGGGAGAGTACTGCAAAACTGAATGAGATGTCTATTTGAGGAGTTAGTGCAGATGCATTCAGTGTTGTTATCCAATAAATGTGAGGCTCTTACCACACAGGCACATAATTAAAAAAAACCCAAAACTGATTAGCTTTGCCTCATTATGAATTAATATGAGCAACAGGATAAGTGTGACCACAAGAATTCATAGCATTGTCTGCTCAGTTTTGTGAGGGAGCATATGGCAATACTCATCCATGGTGTAACTCTTCGTGCATCCATTTTGCTGTATTCAGGATGAGTCTGTCCCAGTTTCGTTGATGATAATTTTAGTGGTAACTGTCAATTAAAATGTCAGTGTATTACGCAAAATTGACTCCTTAAATACAATGGACTTATAATCAGCTGCTTTATTATGCCTCACTGTATAGAAGCATTTCTAGAGGTCTATTAATCTTGTTTGTTAATTTTAATTAGTGTATGTACCTCAAATTCCAATTAGCTATATTAGCCCAATAAAGCAACAGAGAATGTGCAAGTAGAAAGGGCATTTCACTAAAAAGCATTCAGTGCTTTGTGAAGTAGCAAAGAAACTAGATATTTTTTTTTATGTTTGGCATTGCTGGAAGAAGCTGCTGAGAAGATAAACTCATCCAGACCAATGAAGATGAAGTCAAAGGACCCAACATTTTGGCTTGAGGACTTTGAATAGTAGGATCCATAACTAACTTACTTTCTGGACACAGCAAGGAGAGTAGCATGGAAATATACTCTGCCATGCATCAGCAAGGTACTTTGACTCTCAGCTGAAGAGTTTCACTTAGACTCCTAGATTTTCCTGTTGAAATTGCAAATTACAGAGCTACTGATACTGGGCTGAGCGTGGCCATAATTTCAACACTTGTCTGAAAATCACAGATTCATTTTGGATAAGTCAAAAAGCATAAGTTTCTAATGATTTGTCTTGGGGTTCAACCAGATATTAAATCATTTTATGTTTATTAGTAGCAGTGCTTTGGGATCACAGCTCTAAGCCATCACCGTACCTGTTCATAAAGCGTTCGCTCTATCTTTTTGTCCTCTTTCTTTTTAGAGAGCCAACGCTCACACAGGAAAATGAACAATTCCTCTGTGGTCTCATCCAGGATCTCTACTTTTTCCAGGAACCAGTCAGGACTGAACATGCTATTGTCATGACGAATCTTGATCTTGTACACAATGCCAAGGTCCACAGCCTGTATAGTAAACGTATCCTCCTGCAGAGTGTTCAATAGCAGTTGCTTCTGTTAATGAGCTCTCAACAGATCATCTACTGGACAAAGGCAAATGGAGACTACAGAGCACAAAACATGTTTAAATTCCTTCTCACATGGCTATGGTTGAAAGCTTTGCAGCAGATTACAGAGGTGTCTCTGTGTGCTAAAACTGTTCTGCAGGGAAACATATTGAAGCCTGCTTCTGCTATGAGGGGAGCTGCACAAAATGTCACTTTTTCAACCAATTAAATTATTGAATTCCTGGAATTTTACATCCTGGATTTTATGTCTAAGTAAGACTTCCCTTTCTAATCCAGTTAGATTTATATGGGCAATCCATATAAGACAATCTTTGTCATCATTACATCTGTGTATGTCTATATGAGGCTGTGAATATGACTCATGGACTGACCACAGAGTACCATTTTTGGAGTTGTCAAACACAGCCACAGCTTAGGTCCCACCAGTTTATCAAGCTCTGCAGTGGAATATAATATATACTAGCACAGAGGCGATCAGAATGAGAGACCCCAGTTTTTGTGTGCTCTCAATTCTGCTGCTGATGATTCAAGCCAGTTTATATGGACCAAGCCCATAATTTGTCTATCAACAACTTCACAGAAACATCTACCCATTTGCTGCAGTGCCTGTCAACCATAATATCCACATGACAATCCATATAATGTATTTTAAGAGGTAATGAATATGGTAAATTGAATCAATCAATTCATCCCTCATAGGAAAACTCAGCCTATAAAGACAGTCGTGGACTTATTAGGTTAAAGACTGCAAAATGGAAAGTGTTATTAACCCATTACATTTGTACCTGTCCTCTTTCAAACTTGTTGAAGTTCGTTTCAGATTTGCTGAGTTTTCTCTCTCCTGTGTCCCCCAGATCTCCGTAGATATTTAGGAAAACGTTAGCATCTGTCCCTGCACCATAGATATCTCCAGTGAACACGCTTATCTTGTACGTGTGAACTGCAGAAAAAAACAGAGGTGTGATTTCTGGCCAGGTGAATTATCAGGACCTATCTTAGATGTTAAATTTACCTAAGAAAATGGTCCCCAAAATTTCTGCTCATCATTCAGTTCTTGGAGGTTTAAGATCCCATATGTTTTACCCCTCCAGGCTTCTGATAATGATGCAAACATTGGGGAATCACTAGGCTGGAATTTGCTGACTTTCCTCTTTTTCATCTAGTCAATACCTGTGTAAATGCTCTGATCACACTGTGCGCAGTTAAAAATGCAAAGAATCATTATGTTTATTACTGGATGCGATGTAGATAGAGGTGAGGGAAATGCACCTTTTCATACCAAGGCTCAAGGGACACACATCTGAAAACAAGTTCAGTGTTGTGAATTCTTAATACTCCATCTTCCATAAACAAACTCCAGGGATTCAGATGTGCAATTACTACCAGAGTTAATGGCATGTATCTCTATAAATTCCCCAAACAGAAAGAAAACAGGTTTCTGAGACCTTTTTCTGAGACAGTATTTAATTAAGGAACTGTTGGAACTACACTGTTTAAGTATCCTTTCTCTCTAGCTTGCTCAATGATGATCCAATAAAACCTCATCAAATCTTTAGTAATGTGCTTTACTAAACCTGTTAAATACTCCTGTTCTTCTTTTGCTACTCTTTTCCCAATTACACAGGGAAAACAAACAGTTACTGAAAGCATCCTCTCCAGGAAAACAATTAGGAACTGTACAAGTCTCTGATTACCCTGGTGGCATACGAGCCCTTAGAGAATGCCTCCTTGCAAATCCTAGGACAGCACAAACTCTTAGTTAGGATTCTCCATTGTACATTAACAGCATCAAAGAAAATACCTATACAATATTTTTCTTCTGTACCTAGCTTTCCCAGTAAAACAGGGCCTATTCTTCTTCATAGTCTATGAAATATTTCCATCGATCTCTGCAAGAAATGGATCATGACCATTCATCAGGCTAGGCTGCAATGCTATATTTTCTGGTTTGCCTCTTCATGTTATGCCCTACAGAGTTACTGCTTCTTATTTGAGAGACAATTGCTACATTAATAATAAAGGGATCAACGTGTACAGTTTAATGATTCAATGCATCCCTTTTGCTTGCTAGTTCTAGAGACATTCAGGACTGAAATGCAGTCTACTGTATTAAAGATGACCCTCAGAATACCACAAGCTGATTTTCTATCGCTGTCATTTACACCATGTCACTGCCCAAGATGTATGAGGAGTCATAGAGATGCTGAAGATATAATTCCCGTCCCAGATATTTTATATCTAAAGCAGAAGTTTCCAAACTTAGCCCTAGCTCCCAGTCAAAATAAACCTTTAGTTATCAGAAAATCCTATTCCAAAGATTGTAAAACTTGTTTTAAGGCTTTACCTTTAGTAGGAAGAAATGAGTCAGGCAGGTTAGATAATACAAGGTAACTACTGCAAGGTAAAGCGACAGAAGTTAGTAAGTTAAAGAAAATGTCATGCAGGCACCTAGCAGTCATGACACTTACTAATTGATACTAAAACTGTCTTTGCTTCCTCCATGGGGAAAAAAATCTCTCAAGACAGTCGTGGACTGTCTCAATAGTTCCTAACAGGAGGAAAGAGCACACCTGTCTCTTCTAGGGGCACATTGCAAAGGCTCCAGCTTTCCTTACATACAGTAAGGCACCTCTTCCCTGAGCAATGGAAAACACTCACAATCCATATAAATTCCACACTGACAGTGGTGGTCTGTAAATGTAAATTGGATTCCAGGAGAAACAAAACAAGGAGGGGAATGATTTTCTCTGTTGAATCATCTTGTTCTCAGATGCAAGAACCAAGAATGAAGATGGCAACTGAATTCAATTTGCTCTGCTGTAGGAATGTAGGAAGGTTCATGGTCTCTCTCAAGGGCAGAAAGAGCTCAAGGTGGGAAAAGGAGGTCCTAGAGGAAAAAGAGTAGGGAACAGCTGGGCATACAGAGAAGCAATGAGTTTAGGATGAAACTTCAGTTCTTGTTCAGTTGCTTCAGCAACTACAGTGATTAAACACAGAATGTGAACACTTTATCAATGGGCTCAGAGCTGAGTAAGAATTTATTCTACTCCCCAGAGGTACTTTAGTAGGTGAGGGTGGCTGCCTAGAGCCACAGCTTTAGAGAGTGTCCATATATACCTGAAGAGCAGCAGGAAAAACAGATCCGGGAGGAATAATGAGCATGGATCAGACTGGTAGGGTATGAAAGCAAGGGGCAGAATGTATAAGACAGGTGAAGTTGGACAAACAAGTAAAGATGTTTACAGAGCATGGAAGAAGAGGACAAGATGGAAGAAATTTGTTAGGCATCAGAGGAGACATGTAAACTATGCCTGTGTGAAAGGGTGTCTGTGACAGGTTTATAAATGCCCTACAGGAAAATAATGGTATTCTCACACAGAAGTGCTTTAGGTTTAAGAGAGACCAGAGAAGAGGAAAGGAAAGAAATGTGAACAGTCATAACAGCATTGCATTTTCTTAAACCACACACCCATGTGTTTTCTTCCAAAAAATCAGACGAATAAGTCCCTACCGACTCCTCAGATCATATTACCTTCTAATGGGTCTTCAACTTCTTCCTCTATCTGCTTCAGTGTCCCATCTTTCATGAGTTTTTCAGTAAAAATATCAGATGGTACCAGTTCTCTGATAATCTCACCATCATCTTCAGACTTTGCAAGCCATCTTTCACATGGAAATGTGACAGTTTCTGAGCCCTGAAGCAAACATGACAGAGATAATATCTTTAAAACAAAATGAACACGTGTTAGCATTTTCCCTTTGAAAATACTCCGTATTTCCACTCCGTATTGAAAATACTCAACTCGTGTGTCTATGTATGTGTATATAGACGCAGACCTGAAATAGTATATAGAAATATATGCCTTCCAGAAAGAGGACATCTGAGGACTCTCAGAAGCACTGAACATAGAGCAGAAAACAATATTCTCAATGGCTGTGTGAGACAGGCTGTATGATCCAGTAGATCTCTGCCCTTCTCAGTTTTCAATCTTGTAGGTTCCTAATCAGGACTGCACAATTCCTG